AATTAATTGATTGATGTAATTCAATAAATTATAACCATCAGATGTACATAAATAAACAATTAAAATTTAGTATAATAATTATTGTTTTTATACTGATATAAGATGATCCTGACTTATTGAAAATAAGAGATATTTTACAAGATAAAATAAAGTAAATTATGATTTATATGTATTTAAAAAGAATTAATATTTTCATATTGTATGAGATAATTTTATCTTCTATACATACATAAAAAATATGTGGGGCCCATATTTTTTTCCATATCTATATATATATATATAATAGATAAAATTATCTTCTACAATATAAAAAACAATAATCTCATTTTAAAAAGTCATAAATGACACCAAGTCGATCAGATTCCGTCTGGATTGATGTGATCTAATTCAATTAATAATTACTTACTATTTTATTTTCAAGTTGGGCTTAGGCTTTCAGTGGGCTGGTGATAAGATCAAGAAACCTCAATATAAGGAGGCAGAGATCAAGTATGAAGGGATTATACTCGCATCATTCTTAAGTCGTGTGTCTCAATATGGGTATGATTCTGGCCCATGTCTTCTCCATTAAATTTAATTGGCCCATGTCCTTGTAAATTAATACGGTGGTGAAATATAATTTAAAATATTTATTATAACTATGCAATCTATTTTATACTATTAAATTGTCCATCGTTTGCCCACTACAAGAAATTCTCCATTCGGTATTTAATTTTCATTTTGAGTAGACTATTATTATTTATTTTTTTCACTAAAAAAAGAACAAACAATCGTCAAGAATATTTAAATTGAATCATAGTTGTACAATAAAAGGTTTAAAAGTATTTAAAAATAATTATAATTCACTCACACACAAAATAATAGTGTTTTTTGTTTGTGTACTCACGGCGGCTAAACGAACCAGATGCCTTTGATCCGACTCATGAAGGTTTGAATTTATAAGTTTAAAATTGGTTATTGAAATCAGACTTAGATTTGTATAAGAACTCATTTAATAAAAAGACGTTAGGTTCCAATTCAAAAATTTGGCCTTAGAGTTTCTCATATCGGACTAGTATACTAATTTTAATTTTAATTTTATATTTTTTATACTACTCATAATTGTCCTATCTTCCTCCTCAACTCATTTCACATTATTTTATTGGTTAAACAGATTTTTTGAATGATTTTGTTATATATTATGTTGTTTCGATATACGTTGAATTTATGAATCTTTGTAGAAATATTAGTGGTGTTGATCGTATATTCTGTTTGGATAAATTTTATTATCTTATTTTTTTCTAACAAGTTAAATCAGATTTTTATTTTTTTGTAAATAAGTCAGGTCATAGACCGATAATTATATTTATAACAGGTAACAAGCTAGGCTAGACTGACACATTTAAACACAAGTTTAACCTTTAAGAGCAAAGTCTGGCCCGACCCGATCCATTAACACCCCTATGTGCACTTATATACTTTAGAGGGCAAAGAATGGGAAAAGGAAATCTCTTATGCAAAAGATAATAATTATGTACTCCAGGTAGTACATCGTTATAATATTAAATTTTTTTTTTTCTCTCCTCAGACATTGTCGGCTGACGTGACGGAGAGATAAAGAACTATTTTACCATTATAATCAAGGAAGAATATTTGTCCTTTTAAAAGATATAAAAATCTTATGTCCTTTTAGATCCTAATCATTTATTTCTTGCACATTCAACTTTGAGGTGGGGCCATCAAGAGAAAAAATAAAATGAAAGAAAAAAGATCAACACAACTGGGAGATAACAAAATTTTCCATTTACAGAAAACTAATATTGCCCTTAACACATAGGCACAATTTTTAGATATACATTTTCTCCTTATTTGAATGTTTCGCCCCATTTATCCAAGTTTTATTAATCTCTTTTTACATAAGATAGGTATCTTATGTTGTAGAGAGAAACTAAGTGGGTCCCACCATTACAAGAAAAAAGAAAAAGAAAAAAAAATGAAATGCGAAAATCGAAGTGAAAGAAAATGAGATATGTTACCTCGTGTAAAAGGAGACTAATATTTCTTTTATCTAATGACTTGAACTTCCAAATTCATTAAGTAAATCGCTCTCTTTTATCCACCGAGACACGCGGAGGAATATCCTTCAACCATCTTCATTAAGTAAACTTTATCCTAAAAATAATGTAAAAGAAATTAGAGAATCAGTGATTATAGAACAAAAAGTAGAGAATATATTTGAACTTTACCCTTAATATTATAAAAACACACTTAAGTCATTTTATCTATGTGTGATATATATATATATATATATATATATATATATATATTAAATAATTATATGAATACTTTATATTTTAAGTTCTCTATTGCAACATTGCTATCAAGAAAATACAAATTTTTAATCTATTAATTTATTTAAATATTTTTCCTCTTAAAATTTAGGATGAATCCTACTATCATTTTTTTGGCTATTAAAGATCATGGCCTTTTTCAAACAATTTATAATAAAATATTACCTATTTATTAAAGCATCCAACTTTTATATACAATATGATAATCAATAAAATTTAGCATTTTTCTTTATTATTTTAAAACAGATTGTAACAAACCAGAGAATTTAAACTTATTATATCTGCATATAGGGGTGTTCGTGGTCTGGATTGGATCGATTTTGAAAGTAACTATCATCCGATCCATTCCCTTCGGTTTAATCATGTAATCATTCATTCGATTTGAAATTTTTTTCAAATCCGATCCGATCCAATCCAATTTTATTCGGTTTGAATTGGATCGGTTTTCAATTTTTTGAAAAGCCTAAGATTTGTATGTTGATTATATGAAAAATAACATATCTTTTATATGTATCGACTATATAAAGTTTGTATGATGATTATTGTGCAATTTAGAAGCATTGTATAACAAAAAGTTAAATTATCATCTTTTACTTTCAACAAAAAAATTATAATATAATTACCTGAGATACGAAGTAACCCAAATTTTCATCTTATAGAGGAGCTACTGTACAACAATAACCTACGTAATAAAAATATATTATATATCTTACAAAAAAACATAACATAGATCAAGCACAACCCACTTTTTCCAACATGATGGTTAATGGGTCTTGGATTTAGAATTTTGCTATATGATTTTTAGGCTATTATTGGAAAAGGACCAAGTAGGTAGATGATAAGTTGGAGAATAAATTGGATCAGTTTGGATTGGATCGGTTTTCACCAACCTATCCAAAATCCAATCCAATCCAATTAAATTTTGCGGGTTTTTTTTTCGGTTTTTGTTTTTTTGGTTTTTGGTTAATTCGATTTTCTATTTTTCGATTTGGTCACCGCGGTTTGAATCGGTTGATGAACACCCCTATCTGCATACGTCTATTCTGCTAAATTAAACCTTAAAAAACGATTAAAATAAATATTAGTCTATAAACAATAATTTACACGCCTCAAAACTTAAAAAGAAAAGCCAGACTACTAACTGATATACAAATATAATCCTTAGTATTTGTGTATTTTGTGAGTATTTGTAAATCTAGGTCAAATTTGAAATATACAAATTAAAAGATTATAAAAAAGATATGCATAATCAGTTAAAAAAATTTGAATTTAAATTTGAATAGATGAAAATTTAAGAATAACATATATAGTTTTTTACAAGACTTAATTGTGCTATTCTGAATCTAAACTAATTAATCTTAAGTTAAAATAGAATTTTAAAATAAAATGTATCATTTTTAAAGAGAGAAATGAATAAAAATATTTAATTATATCACTTTAAAGGAAAATATTTTTCTTATCACGTATGATAAAACTATCTCATGCATAAAAAGAAATCATTCAAAATTGCAATAGATGACACGAGAAATGTTAAACCTTCATTCTAAATAAAAAAAAATTAGTTTTATGGAAAAAATGTTTGTTATTTTGAATGACATAACACTCTGTCCTTCTAAGAGAGAAACAGACACAGAAAAAAATTATTTAAATTTTAAATTAAAAAAAATTACCTACTTTCTCTCTTCCATGATTTTCATTTTTCTGTGTCTATCTTTCTCCTAAAATGAGATAACTTATATCATTTAAAATAACAAACACTAAACCCTAATTTTATATCAAATAATACTGGAATATCCTTAAAATTAAAATAAAAAAGTAAATATAAAAATCTTTCTACAATTTTTCTTATATACATATATATACATATATATATATATATAACTCCATTAATTATGTCTACGTTCATCTTTATCTTCTTAAATAGTTGTTACTATAGCTAAATTCTTTTCAATTATTTATCGACATATAATAATGTAGTATTATAAAAAAAAATATTTACAACGAGATCAGAGTAAAATTAGATCCTTTTTAATAGAGGTGAAATTGAAATACTTGCTTGAGCATTCTACAATTGCGAAAATTAATCAATTTTAGTAAAGAGTAGGACGAGATAATAGGATTTATAAGTTTATTTATTTATTTATAAATTACATGTATTCTTCACTGAAGATAATCTTGTTCGATAAATTATATGTAAATTTTTGATAGGACGGAAATAGATACTCACTTACTAAAAATAAAAATAAAAAAATGATAGAAAATAATTAAAAAAATAAGAATAGTATAAATGTGTTATTTTATTTTTTTGATATTTGATAAAAAAATGAAGAATAACATCTGTCATTTTAAAAGATATAAGCTTATATCATTTTAGATCATAGTCATTGATTTTCGTCTATCAACGGTCATAATTTATTATATCAAAATTATTAATTAATTAATATTAAATTTGATCCAATAAATTATAACCGTGGATGAACGAAAATTAACGATTAAAATTTAAAATAATATAAACTTATATCGTTTAAAATTATATATGTTTTTCCCTTATAAATGATATACTTGCCGAAAATATTTTGCAAAGTGATGGAGTGTTTCATTCTTCCTATGCATCTGGTTTCAGCCAACAACGGCCATTGCCCATTGGTCCCACTCTTCCACTCTTGAAGTAGTCGCTTTTCCTCACTCTTTAGATTTCGTGTAAACTCACAGAATGAAAGATAAGACCACACCCAAAGATAGACCCCATCAAAAGAACAACTCTTCCTCTCCAATCTTCGCACCGTCAAGGTAAAACTCTCTTCTCCGTGTCTCTCACGGTCCCACATACAATATCTACACATATATGATGTTTTCTAATTTAGAATTGTGTTTGTTTAAGGAAAGAATTGTGCTGGTTTTGATGTTGTTATCGTTGTTGTCGTTTTTTTTTTTTTTTCTTCCTTCTTTTAACAACCTAGTATTTGAATTGTTGCTTCAGGTGTTTTTGAATTTTGAAGTCTATCGGTGTGACGTTGTTGTTTAATGAAACGTGCTCCTATTCGGTTTGAGGTCTAAGCTAAGCGGTGTTAATTGGACCATTTTATTTATTTATTTATTTTTGCTTTGGAAAGGTTTTGTTTGTTGTTGAGTGTTGTTGGCACATAAAAATAATGGCATCGTCTCATGGTAATGCGCACTCGGAAGCGGCAAAGATGGAACAAATAATCACTGAGTTCTTCGCAAAGAGTCTTCACATAATACTTGAATCGAGGGCACTTTATGTGTCATCGCGTAATTCATGTGGTGATCAACCTGTGTCATCTCCATGTTCATCTTCTTCATCTTCATCAAGTGTGAGGCCGAGGGATAAATGGTTCAATTTGGCTCTCAGGGAGTGTCCTGCGGCGTTAGAGAACATTGATCTCTGGCGCCAGACAAATCTTGAGTCCATAGTGATTGATGTGATTTTGGTGCAGAGGCCTCTGGATTGGGACCCCGTTACCATGAGTTTTTCTCCAAAAAGGGTTCTTCCTAGGAGTTCTTCACTGAAAGAAAGATACCCATTTTGCTGTAATACTGATCAGGAAGAATTGGGTATTGAGGGTAAGAGTGAAAAGATTGTAGAGAGATGGGTGGTGCAGTATGAGAGCAGGAAGACAAGGGATTCTAATTCTGGTAGTAGGAGGTCAAGCAATATTTCTTTGCATAACTTGTATAAGAAATCAACTTTGCTTTTGAGGTCTTTGTATGCCACTGTTAGACTTTTACCTGCCTATAAAATCTTCAGAGAGCTTAATTCATCTGGACAGATTCATGCCTTTACCCTTGCTCACCGGGTATCTTCTTTTGTAGAGCCCTTCACCCGTAAACAAGAGGCAGAGATGCTGAAATTCGGGTTCACCCCTGTGGATACTTCTTCTGGTAGGCTCTGCCTTATGGTGATGTATTGCCCCTCAGCCTTAGATGTTAGCTCTGAACCATCAACTCCTTTGTCCCCCCAAGTTATAAGTGACTATGTTGGGAGTCCATTGGCTGATCCTTTGAAGAGGTTTCCCTCACTTCCTGTGGCAGGATTGCCATCGCATGGCTCGCCGTCATCATTGCCATCTTCTAGACGACATAGTTGGAGTTTTGAGAATTGTAGAGCCTCACCTCCTTCCATTACTTATTCACCTTCGCCTACACATTCAGAATCACACACATCGGTGTCCAATGCAAGTTCTCGGCGTCTTCCACCTGCAAGTTTGCCTCCTCATCCAACTGAGATGTCTTTGGTTCAGAAGAAGAATACAAGTTTTGATGATTATTATCCCTCTCCATCACTTTCAATCCACAATTCTGGGTCATTACCTTCTAAAACACTTTTACGATCTGAAAGTGCTCCAGTCAGCATACCTACTGCTGAAGTTGTTAATTCCCCTAGATACTCCAACAGGCATAATTTGCCTCCATCTCCTCCCCTAAGAGGTTCAAGGTGTAATTATAAGACTGATATAAATGCGAACATGATGCAAACAGGTGCAACAGCTGAGAAGGTACGCTGTATGCTAACCCCTGTAAACTTTTTCTTTAGTTCAAACATATAGATTTGTTAAGGGTTTGTTCTGCTTTCTGTAGTTGTTTTCTCTTGGAAAAGATGAGTCTCGAAAATATTCTGGAGTCAAGATATCAGCCAACAGCTCTCCACAGATTTCAATTTCCAGAAGCTCCAGTAGGTCTTATCAGGATGATTTTGATGATACTGATTTTACTTGTCCGTTTGATGTGGATGATGATGACATGACAGATCCAGGAAGCAGGTACTTTGTGATTAGAATTTACTGGCAATTATACTTGCTTATATGCTAATCTTTTACATTAGATATGTCCTTTATCAAGTAATTTATGTTCCCTACAGTCGTGTTTGAATTCCCATAGAAAATAGCATAACTTCTATATAATGAGGCTAAGAAAGGTTGATCAGTAGCAATGCCATCCTACTGGAATGTCATGCTTGTGGTCTGGGAAAGTCTATGGTAATAATCTAATTGGTTCTGAGTGAAATGGATTTTCAAGTTATATGTTAACAATTTACACAGGAATCCCATTTTATACGAGATTTTAATATTTTATACTAATAATTGAGTTCACTAATTGCTTTCCATTGACCTAAAAGGAAAATAAATTAAAAATAAAATGGGAAAAAAATGAAGTAACAGTTTTTCATTAAAAACAAAATAAGAAATAAGTTCTGTTATTTTAAATTCATTATTTCTGTCCTAATTGCAGTTTTTGACATGTGCGATTATAACAGTGTGTTTATCACTCTTCCTCCTTTTCCACTTTAGAGATTGACATCTAGATAAACACATCTGCTTTTGATATGCATAAAGATTTGGCTTCACCTGTATTGTGATGTAAGCTTTGTATATTCTTTTTGTTTTCTTCAAAGAATTTTGGATATGTACAATGGCTCCTTGAAATTGTATAATATTTATTATTTATTTGTCAATGACTACAATATTGAAATGGTTGATATGCACTGTTATTTTCTTATTTTACCCATCTTCGGAAATGTTATTTATTGATATTTAATGCTATCTTTTCCAAAATAAGCAATTGATGTGACATATTCTGAGTTAACGAGTCTGCTTATTCTGCCTTTTTCTTCTTTAGTGGTGTCTTGTGGTACTATCATTTAAACAATTAGCTGATCTATCTCTTAAACAATTAACATTGATCTATTTACTATTGCACGCATCCATTATATGTAGAAAATAGTATTTCATTTTTCAAATTCCCAATACAGTGAGATTACAACATATACAAGCCACCTTGATGTAAAGGAGAAAACTAATAATAACAATATCAACTCTAATTGATAAAATATTAAAATTGATTCTATTTTGTTCCTAAATAGGGATTTGATATCTCTCGTAAGAATTGAGTTCCACATCGGAAACATAAGGGTTCGAGGTGGGGTTTATATGGACTTTGGACTCTCTTACCTCATGAGCTAGCTTTTAAGGTGAGGCTCTCCCAAGGTTCGTATCAAACCCCTACAAATTGATTATGTAAGAATCCCATACGTAAGTCGCACGAAAAATATAATAAATGAGTTTTTCCTAAGAAATAAACCTAAAAAATCATGCCTAAGCTCATATCAAATCATGTTGCCCCTTCTACCAATGCTTTGGCTGACAATAATTTGATCTAGGTCAGCTAGTTATGTCTAAAAACCCCGTCATTTCCAGAAGGGATGTTAGAGAGGGCTGAATAGACAAAATACCAGGATTACCAGGATCATATTTATCCTAATTGTAATTTGATTAGAATAAGGAATTCACAATTCTTTTTTGATGGAGAGGGGTGTATGATTCCCTTGTGGAACTTTAATGCTAGGCTTGTCCTTATCAAGCGCGAGGTTGATAGTAGGTAGTCATTTGGGAAGGATGGATGTTTGGTTCGTGATTAGACTTTGTTTGCAATTAATGTGGTAAGTTTTTTTTATTTTATTTTCTTAGAAGAAACATTTTAGAGAGAAAAGAGGGAAAGTACAGGCAGTTTAGGGGAGCATAATATATCCTCCAAAAAGAAAAAGGAAGATAATCACATAATATAAGAAAATCAGGAGTTATGGATAAATACCTTTGCATATTCGAAGTGATAATTTTTTTGAAACAGTCATGAGAACACAAGGAAAAGCCACTAACGTTAGAGGATTGGATGTCATGGATTTGAGGATTAAGAGGCAAATAGACACCCTTAAAGATGGGAGCATTCTTGACACTGCCACCATTTAATGCAGTGGATTGGAGTCATGGATTTGAGGATCATTCTTGGTTAGAAGTAGGGTCAATGAGATATATTTCTATTGTTATTGAACCACAAGCTTGATATCACTTACTGCAGAAGGGAAGTTAGACCTCTATGAGGAAATATCCTGGCTGATCAGTGGTGATTGCCTGGTCCCCTTTAGTAGTGTGGAACAGTGACCAAAGTGCCACTGTTCCCCATCTTATTTTCCTAAATGCCACGTCAACAGTATTATTTCTCAATCTGCCACGGGGGCAAGTTCGCTAGGCAGTGTAGCGAACTCGGTGTGCTGATGTGTCACGTTTCTGGTGGACACCAAGGTCGCTGGTGTCAGTAGCGAACTCTGGAGCAATTAATGCTGACACGGTGAACAAGTTCGTTGCCACAGTCAGCGAACTAGGTGTGACAGGTGACTCACATGCACATAGTTCGCTGAAGGGCATGGCGAACTATGTGCCTTCCAGAATTTTTTCTATCATAACAATTTGCTTGTTCCTTTTAGTTGCACGGGTTTCGAGGGATGACAATTATATTTCTCTTTGCATCATGCTATTCTTTGAGATGTGTGCAACTTTCGCTTGAATATGTTAAGCACGTGAAACATATTTTGGAATCTGATCATTACTATTTTTTGGTTTATTTTTGTTTTGGGTTTTGTTTTTATTTTTTGGGAAAAGTGTGTATCATTTTAAAGGATGTAAAGTTGTGTCATTTTAAGTAAGAGAAAGAGATAGATAAAGGAAGAGAGGGAGTGGACAAAAAAATATAAATATGTGGGTCCTATCTCTTTGTGAGAGTGAAATGATATAAGTTGTGTCATTTAAAAGGATAAACACTTTTCTCTTATTTTTTAATACAAGAAAAATATATGCAGCCTTTGTTTTGGTCAATCCATAACAAGTTTTGGTAAAATCTGTGTTTTAAAATATAAAATCTGCTTCTTCAAGTTTTGGTACAAGTTTTGGTAAAATCAAAAAATAAAAATAAAAAATTATTTATTAGTTCCACTCAATTCACGCCATTATTAGTTGCACACATCTCAAAGAATAGCATGATTCAATAAGAAATATAATTGTTTTCTCTCGAAATCCGTGCAACAAAAAGGAACAAGCAAATTGTCATGAAGGCACATAGTTCGCCATTCCCCTCAGCGAACTATGTGCATGTGAGACACCTGTCACACTTAGTTCGCTAATTGTGGCAGCGAACTTGTCCACCGTGTCAGCATTAATTGTTCCAGTGTTCGCTACTGACACCAGCGACCTTGGTGTCCACCAGAGACGTGACACATCAGCACACCGAGTTCGCTACACTGCCCAGCGAACTTGCCGCCGTGGCAGATTGGAAAATAACACTGTTGGCGTGGCATTTAGGGAAATAAGATGGGGACCAGTGGCACTTTAGTCACTGTTCCTAGTAATGTCTTAGGAGTTCTACCATTGGCTGGAAGGTCCATTCCCTTTCCATTAACCAACTTATTATTAGTTATTATTATTATTAAACAAGGTTGATAGAACAAGATAAACAATGGTAACACCTGATTTTCTAATATCATTGATTGTACCGGATGTTCCTTTTCGAGAAAATTCTGGATTTTAAATTCATTTAGAAGAAGCACTCTTATCATTGTTTAGATGTGTTGTAAATATTATTATTATTTATTTATTTGTTATTTGTTGTATTGGGCTTACCCCATTAGGTCAAGTATTCTAGGTCTTGTATTCTCTATAAATAGAGAACCCTTTTGTACATATGATTTACAATTCTATAATATATTAGAGTACCCTTTTTCAAGTTGGTATCAAAGCTCTCGATCTGAGGGTTCTGCTTCCGCGCCTATTTGCCTTTAGAGTAAAAAAAACCCTGATCCCTTTGCCTCTTGTTGCCATCAGCCGCCACCGGATTTTTTTTTTCCGGGGACCTTTTGGACCAAGAGGACTACTGTTCACTGTTATTTTTCTTCGATTACACCCTCGAACACCGATTACACAGCCCAAACACCTCCAAACAGCCGCGAACACCGATTTCACAGCCCAAACACCTCCAAACAGATCTGTCATCGCGTCTGGACTACCTTCCGGTGATTTTTCAACCGCGACCACCCACAGACAGGTGCGCGCTAGCCGGACGACCACCGTGCAAAAATTTCAGCTGGAGAGGACAGCCCACGCGCTCTCACGCGCTGACCAAGCTCCAGCGCGTGAAGCCCACGCGCAGCCACCTCCACCGGCGCGTGGAGGCGCGTGACACCTTATTTTGGCCTCGGACCACCGCCATTCTTCTCGTCTCCTTGTTCTCTGTCTGGATCTGTGATTGTTTCACTGATCGGACTTCATTTGATAATCTGTTTGGTTGATTTTATCGCTGGTTGTTAACTTTTTTATTGAAGAATGGCCGAGAATGACAGTTCTTTGATCTTATCTGGTAAAAGCACACGTTCTATATCTCTTCTTGCTTCTTGCACTGATTTTAAAACCTCGTGGATTTTGGATTCTGGTGCAACTGATCATATGGCTTGTCGTACTGAGTTGTTTTGTTCTTATCATCCTACTGGTGGTAGTCATACTATATCCGTAGCTGATGGATCCCATAAATCAGTTATTGGTTCTGGTAACATTCAAATTCAACCTTCCTTGTTTCTTAAAAATGTTCTTTATGTTCCTCAGCTTTTTACTAATCTTATCTCCACTCAAAAACTTACAACTGATTTGAATTGTTCTATCACATTTTTTCCTTCTCATTGTGTTATTCAGGTGCAAGGTGCTTTGTTTCTTTTATTGACGATTGTACTCGGGTAACATGGATATACTTGATGAAAGACAAGTCTGAAGTACCAGAGATATTTATTCGGTTTCATCACATGGTTGAGACTCAGTTTGGTAAGGGTATTAAAAGACTAAGATCTGATAATGGTACTGAGTACGTCAACCAACGCCTGTCACAATTCATTTCAGACAGAGGTATGATTCATGAGCTCACATGTGTTGATACCCCTCAACAAAAC